CATCAGCTAAAGCATCAGCTTCCTGGTGAGAAAATACAGGGCTTTTTGAGGGAATATTGAGATGTTTACTTTCATAGTTTAGAGTGCTAGATAGCAGTTCTGTAGTTAAAAATTTAGTTTATGTTCCAGCAGAGTGAAATATAACATAGAATTGATTTTATATTGTTGATTTTGAAACTGCCAGTTTTGAGAGTTAAAAGAAAACAAATTCTTTCCCACAAGAAGGTACAAATATTCACATATTTCTGCAAGGTATAGAATCAAATATTATCCCATAGTATCAAACATTAGAAGAAAGACAGTAAATATCTCCCACATTTATGATGTGCTTACTGATATATGGCAAGATAGATATAAATACCAAAGTCACAATTATGCTCACATCATTGTTATATTTGTCTTTATTTCATGCTGCTGCCTTTTTGGAGCAACTTTTTCTGATTTGATTTTCATCAACATGGTCCAAAAATACTCAGTATCTAGCTGCTTTAGCTAAGAAGAAAAGGAGTTGTTGGAAAAATTGTCTCTGGGCTTTTTCTTTTTTTTTTTTTTTCCCAACAGTTGTCCTGATGTATTTGTTATGTTTTGTCTCAAATTTCAGTCTAACAAAAATAATATGAATGAAAAATAATAATTCTAGCAGTGAGTGGATTTAATCATCTTTTTAGAGTTCCAGTTTACAAAGGGGTTGTGTAAGTTTTCCTATATGTCACATACACTGCACAGTATTAGTTTGAGGGTAGAGTCTTTTCTAATCTCTGACTGATTCAATTTACAAACCACAGCATTGCAACACTGTGCATGTACCACATAATTTTATGTAATGATTCTGAGTGATTAAAGAGGGTGAGTGAGAATACTGAATTATGTTTCCTCTCAGTTAGTTCTGTATAACAAAGTATTTTTTTATAACAGCTAAGACACCACCTACACAGGAAATAAACAAGTTACCTTGTTTAATCAGAGAATAAAGAGGAAAGAAATGTCCTCTTAACACGTCCTGACAATTCCTACTCATGCGTGCATAGGCATACTCAGTTTTTGAGAGGTAGGAAAGAAATTACTAGAAGAATAACCATTATACTTATTAAAGTAAATTTTCTTGATTGCTGTGATGCAGTTTAATTGAATGTAAATGACAGAGACCTCAACAAACACCACAGAAAAATCTCACCTATGTAATATCTTGACTACAGCCTCCTGACAATCATTATTGAAGCTAGTTATTTTTAAGAGCCTGCTTAATCAAATGCAATTGAACTGAATTAAACTGTAGTTTCCATGTCTTTTCAAAATGTATTTGTAAACATCTTCCTGACAGTCACAGCTCAGTTAGGATAAGGCTTAGTGCTAGTACTCACAGCCTGCACTTGGAGCTGTAGATCATTTTTCTCCTGCACCAGTTTCACCATTTTCTCCTCCAGCTCTTTCCTCTTTGCCTCAGACTTCGCAAGTTCTTCTTTGGTTTTCTCAAACTCTTGTTTCATGTTGGCCATCTCCTTCTCAGATTCTGCACTCTTCAGCAAGGGCTTGATCTTGAAGAACAGCTTCATCCAGGGCCAGTGCTTCACATTCATGAATGCACGAATATTGTACTGGATACAGAAAATGGACTCTCTGAAAGGTAGTTCAAATTAATATTAAATATTTAGACCTTAATGACACAACATGCTAAAAACAGTGAACCTAATTTCAAGAAATGTCTACCTCCTCTCCACCATTCTCTGGTACTCCATTCTCATTAGGAAGCCCCTGCACCTGGCCTGTGTGCGGGTGATGAGTTGTGCCAGCTTCTCATCCCTCATCTCTTCCAAAAGGCCTATCAGTCCAGCTTTGAAGAACACCTTAGGTAAAAACATGAAAAAAGGTGCAGTGTATGTGCTTTTGGTTCAGTGTGGCCTGGTACCCTTTCCCCTAGGTACCCTGTCCCCTGCCACACATTTTGCTTTTGTTTTTATTAACCCATGATTCTTTTACTCTACAACTTTGTCTTAAATTAGGAGCCCTTATTGACTCTTAAATAAATCATCCTATGGCAATGAATTTCAGTTTTATTCAAGTGCTGGATCAATAAGTACTTAGTGGACTTCCTTTAAATACACTATTTGATCATTTCAAATGCTATCTGGGGAACTTGAGTGTCATTTGCAAGTCACGCAAAACAAAATACTACTTGAATCAAACAGTTTTTTTACCTTGGTGTGACCGAATTTGTATTGAGTGTGGTCTATATCAATTGATCCAAGAAGTTTCTCACAAGCCTTCTTGCTGTCAATGAACTGTCCCTCTGGGATAGCACTGGCATTTAATACTTTGTATCTAGGGAGAAAATGGAAAGACTGGCATTGGACTTGATCTTAAGGGTCTTTTCGAACCTGAATGATTCTATGAATATAGAGGTCTCTTGTTGAGATCAATAGGCTGGTATACTGAAAGAAAGAGTCTAAGAACCATTGAGAACATAACAGTGCTGCTAAACAAACTTTATAGAAAGCTTTATTCACCAGAGGTGAAACTTAAATTTCACAAACTTTCAAGATGGGCAAAATGATACAGTAAGGGGAAGAAGTCTGACCTCTGTTTGAAGTCAGCATACAGGACTCTGTTGGGAAATCCTTTCCTGCAAATTCTGATCCCTTCCAGCACACCATTACACCGCAGCTGGTGAAGAACCAGTTCATGCTCCATAGCTCCTGGCAATGCAGAGCGCAAATATATGTTATATTCTATTACATAGAGACGAAGAGCTGCACCATACTGAAAACCTTCTACATGTGAGTCTCTTACCAGGTGTTTTTGTTTCATTTGGGATGATGCAGCGTACAAAATGTGGGTGAGTGCTGCGCAGATTTGTCATCAGCTTGTTTAAATTCTCCTGGAAGAGTCATTAACCAAAGTTTATATTAGCGAATGTAATTTCCACTCTAAGCATCAAGCCCTCTCAAATAAGATGATGAGGTATCAGACCAAAGTTATATTGCAGAATCCTGAACTGAAGCTCTCTGCACCAGTATTTCTGACTTTCCACAGATCTTTGCTATTGTTAACTTAATGTATAAAGTTCTTCTGATTAATCTGTAAATACTGTACTCTTAAACATAACATTTTAATACATTTTACTGACTCTAGTGGACTCTGCCCTGGAGGTATTTAGAATATGTGTGGATGAGGAGCTTAGGGACATGGTTTAATGTTGGATTTTTTTAAAAATCCATAATGCAAGATATAATGGTATTTCAACTATAAGAGATTGATCCCTGAATTATGGAGAAAAACTATATATATATATATAGCAAATAGGTCATAAATGGGCAGAATGTTGTTAAAAGACAATAAATGGTTATGAAGCCAGAGGTGTGCATCTGAGGGAAATCTGATATACTTTATTTATATTTTAAAAGTTTTCTCTGTGACATTCTTCCATCTGAAAACATCATCCTGGGACAAATGGACTAAAAGAAAAGTTGTGCATTCAGTGGAATAGAGCATAAATAGATTATGCTAGGATTTATTCCTAGCAAAATATGGCCCAAGAACTTCAGGGTCTTTTAACATAACTAAACCCAAAAAAAAAAAAAGACTAGTCTTTTAAATGATGGGTTTAGAAAGTAGTGAACTCTCTACTGTACCCGAAAAAGAGCTGAGACAGTTTGGAAGGAAGAACCTTTCTTCTTGCCACCTTTCTTGCCAGCACTAGCCTCTGCAAAGTTGCAAATAAGTAAAACAGGAGTTAGATTCTTGCCTTTTATGATTCCTTTTTGCAAGCTGTACATGAGTGAAAAAACAGGGTTCATAGAACCAACCTGCTTCTGCTCCACCATAGTTAGCAAATAGCAAGGCCAAAGTTTTCAGTGATGATTTCTGGTACAACCCAATGACAGTTTCATTCAGGGGGTCCTTGTTTTTCTCAAGCCAGCCAGTGATGTTATAGTCTACTGTGCCAGCATAGTGTATCAGGGAGAAGTGGGCCTCAACCTTCCCTTTGGTAGGCTTGGGCTTCTGAAAGTTGCTGGATTTGCCCAGATGCTGATCATAGAGCTTGTTCTTGAAAGAGGTGTCTGTTGCCTTGGGAAACATGCACTCCTCTTCCAGGATGGAGAAGATGCCCATGGGCTGGAAGAAATGTGTATGAAAGACACTGTAATTTAGTTTTCAGGGCAATAATGACCTTCACGTAGGTAGAATAGTGGAACAGAATGAGAAACACATCAGAAAACATTATTATTTTATTACATTTTCTGCTAAGAAGTGAGATTAAACTTATTAATACTTACATTATTTTATCACCAGTTGAATAATAAAGATTAATGCAAATTCATTTAGTTTGTTGAGAACATGCTTTATAAGATCAAAGCACTACCTTCTTATCCAGAGGGACTCAAAGCAGACACATATGTCAGGCAAGTTGAACATGAGCCAGCAATACACTCTTGTGTCAAAGGCCTTTTCCGAAAGGAAATGGGGGACCTGGTTACCCGGGATGTGGCAAAGGCTGAGGTACTCAATGACATTTTTGCCTCAGTCTTCACCAGCAAGAGCTCAAGCCACACTGCTCAAGTGACAGAAGGTAAAGGCAGGGACTGGGAGAATGAGGAACCACCCGGTGTAGGAAAAGGCCGGGTTCAAAACCACCTATGGAAACGGAAGGTGCATAAGTCCATGGGACCTAATGAAATGTATCCGCGGGTCCTGAGGGAACTAGAGGAAGAAGTTGCTAAGCCACTATCCATCATATTTGAAAAGTTGTGGCAGTTCACTGAAGTTCCCACTGACTAGAAAAGGGAAAACATAACCCCCATTGTTAAAAAGGGAAGACCCTGGGAACTACAGGCCAGGCAATT